CCATTAACCGCTCAAACAAACGCTGAAGCACTTAAGGCCACACCTTCTGGTCTTTACCTAGCTGTAATTATGTCAATTAAGGCGCACTATCATCACGAATGCACCTGTGCAATCATTCATGCATCATGTTGAGATCAAAGTAACCCGACAAGAGGGTTCAACATCACCTCGTAATACAACACTATGCAAATCGTACCGATCAACACCCCGGGATTGACATCTTTGGAAGCTTGCCGCCGCCTCGTTTGGTACGAAGAAACCCGAGACGGGGTCGAGTTTCGTTTTGAACTTCATTGACAGCAGGTTTAAGACGACCTGATAGTATCGTCCTTGGGGTCTCGTGGTTGTCGCGGTCGTTGCGATCGGCTCGTCAAATTTATTGAAACTGCTGACAGATGAGGTGTGGCATGTTTTCATAGAAAGCCCGTTATCGGCATTCCAAATCCCCTTCCGCCAAAGCGAGATTAACGTATCTGATCGAAGGATGGTGAGAGGCTCATGTTTGCCTATTGGACGGATGCGCATCGACCTATTTGTCAGCCATACAGACCGATTACGATCGCCTAATGAGTTTAAACAATAGCTAGTAGTAAACTGGACATAGAGATGAGATGGCAATAGCAATAGCTAGCGCAAATTGCCCACTATTGGGTTACGAAACCACGAAAAAAATGGCCGCAGTGGGCCAGACGGGACCCAGTGATTAAATGTGATTCACCACAGCGGCACGAAGATTCTGCAAAGCTCGCTGATATTCTCGTTCTCGTCGTAGAGCTTGACTTTTCTTGGCGTCATGGACGAGGCGAAGACCTTGCTGAAAATTGTGATTCTTCAGTTGAAAGGACCCCTTGGGTCGTAAAGTGGCCAAAACTACCTCTTTAGGTGACTCCTTGTAGGCGTAGAGGAAATGTTGCAGACTCTCTCGAGCTATCGTATGCATCCCTGAAAGTCAGAAGCAGCATGTTCTCGATGGCAAGAGCGAACGTCATGGAAGAGTTCATGATGTCAATCTATCTTCGCCTACCTCTTCGCCTCGTTCTCGTTCTCACTTAGCTGATCCTTAGGGATTTAGCCGATGCGCTGAGGGGCATTGATCGGCCGAGGAAGCGGCGTCGGGTCGAGAGAGAAGTTCTCGTCTTCTTCTTCCTTCACTTGTCACAGCAATGACGAACGGACGATGGACTTCTGATGACTGCAGCACCTGGACGTCTGCGGCCAACTAGCCAGCGTTACTCTTGTTCCCGGCCTCGTTTGATCATTCATCGTCGCCCCATTTGATCGAATTCACTGTCTTATGCCTACCGGATCTTGTCAATGCAGTTTTCTGCTTGGATAGCCAGCTCGGGAATTTCCTAATAGTCACCTTGGAGGAAATCGTTAGTTCTCGCAGAAGAGTCCCCCTTACTCCCCCCAATGGTTCAGGGTGTTGTTGCGCTGGTGAGTTGGGTTATGAACAAGTAAAAACCTCATCTCTATTTTGAAGTCTTGTGAGAAATCACTGGAGTGGGTGGTAGATAGTAATGGCATACAATCGGATAGACTCTTGACAAAATTCATAACTTAACCCTGCCCGTTTTGAGCGATTCAAAGGCTATATAGTTCTCTCATCTGGCTCTTGTTTTCATCAACAATTTGATTTTCTGAAACTCAAAAGTACTGACCTTAATTTGCTGCTGAGTCTGTCTATTGACTGTGTTGGGGAGCTCTTTCAATTATTCTAAAGAATATGGTACTGTTAATGTTTCTGAAATATGCGGATATTGCCGGTATGCTGGCGGATCTCAAAGTAGTAGGGGTGGGAAAGAAAGTTCTGCAACACTCTTTCCAAAATTTTCTTTTTTTCTGAAAAATTCATAGGTAACATTTATGACTACCAAATGATAGAGCATTCTCAAGGCTTCAATCCACGAGGTGGATATAAGTTCTGCAGTGAGTAGGTATCCAAGAAAATTCAAAAAATCTCGACCACTAGCAAATCCGTACTCCGAGTCACTGTCTAGTACAAATGTCTACAAAACCATGGATTCGTGTCAACGACTGACACTATCTGCAATAGCTTCTAATGGCATGCCGTTCAGCGATACAGCGTGTTTCACCTTTACCAGCGCTTCCGATCTTTTGATATTTTTATAAGAAGCCAGCAGCATCCCTCACACTCCATTACAGGTAGGGCTCTTACAGAAGCTCCACTACATACCCTTCGTTATGGGCACCATTGTGTAGGCAGTGGCCTAGGTTGTGGAGTACCAGAAGCTGGCCGAGGTAGCTCGTCAAGAGCCCTCGTACCGCGACAATATTCATTTCTTTCATGACATTGCGAATCACCATGATCCGAAATGAGCCCGGTAAGAAATTCTGGAGTTGCGGCAAGATTTCTTTCCTCTCTTAGCGTAATCCCCTGGTCGAGCTGTAAATGAGTGCTACCTATCCTGGACCTTTAATCATCATCTTGATAACGAAATAATCAGACGATCAACTCCAACTCGAAAGTGAGGTCGCCTCCTTTCTCGACCCGCACTCCGCTGGGTTTTGGCGGAAGGAGCATCAAGAAATTTTCTGAGCGATTGGAGACAAGTGGTGGACACTCATGGTAGATATAAGACCGGTCAGAAGTTGTAACCAAAAAAGATAAAATTAAAATCAAAAATTTGAAAAAGTGTTGCAGGACTTTCTTTCCAACCTAATAATAATCGTAATAACTTCGTATAGCGGTTTCTGCAGGGTTGTTCGTTCAGCCCTTCACGCCTCGCACGAAGCGTACTAAGGTCCGATGGGTCAGGTACGAAGATTCGAGGCCAACAGGAATACGGTGTTATCAAAACAGACTCATATTGTGGGTTGTTTTGGCAATGGGACAACTGTCCATCTCAAGTACTGCCCTGTATTTAGGTTCTGCAGACAAGGCCTTGAGTAAGGAGGCTACGCCAGGGAAGCTTAGTCTTTTTATGTTTGCTGTATTGGGATAACTTATTTGCTCTTTTGTGGCCACTGCTCCAAGAAGAGGGACTGAGGTGGTGAGGTTTCGGAACCATCGGGGTCGGTTTATTCGTGCCCTACTTGTCTAGAAGGAGAAAAATAAGAGCTGACCCGCAAGTCATTGTAGAGTTCACATCATTCTGAAGTACCGCAATAATTCTGAATGAAGGTAAGATGCGTGTCGATTCTAAAAGCAGATTCTTCAAATACGTTCTTCAGCTTAACTATCTTTGTACTGCACGCTTCGTAGATATTAAAAGATAATGGGGCACGATGTTTACCGTCTCTTTTGGTATACTACCTATTGGAATTTTTGAGGACGCCCGATGAATTCGAGACTCCCATACAGTTTCATTCATTCTGAGAAACAAACAGTAGCCTCTCCGGAGAGGTTAGAATTGGTTGGTGTGAGCGAAATTCGATTTCAAATTTCCGTGCTGTGATATAAGAAACCACGCCGCTTAGCCCTACACCACAACCCCCAAGTAAAAGATAAAGGATGAAGCATCTGCGTTGATCAATCCCTTTTGGGATGCGGCACGCATTCTACTTCCATTTGTACATTCGTAGTGGCGTTTGAATGCGATGTGGCCTATACAATGACTTGCGGGGGCCAGCCGATGTTCAAGTCAGTGTTTTTTTTATCCTCCCAGACAAGTCTGGTACCAATTAACCGACCCCACTGGGGGAGCAAGGCTGATTGCCGCTGGAACACATGGGACCCACATGCGATTCCCCGGGCCGTGCGGCCGGTGGAAGGTGTCATCGCCACTATCATCACGGCGACCCACCATCCCTACTTACAAAAATATAAGCAATGGAAAATGCAATTATTGTGCGTTATAATGTAGTCAAAAGGGAGTATTAAAGGCTCAGGTGGAAAGCCGAAAACATGGCGATGGGCCAATAGCTGAAATTCTGTGGTCACCGATTGGAGGCATGCTGGCCGGCTAGGTAGGTCATCTCGCTATGTCTCTTGCAAAATGGCAACTCCCAATTGGGACAGCGAATCACTCATGTTCAACGGTTTTTTCGCTGCTTTGAAGAGGCTCTTAAGCCAGTGACTCTTTCAACTTCTGGCACTTTCACTAGTTCTCCTGTCATTTCATGCCGCCTTTAGTCCGTCATGATGTTCCCCATTCCATGTGACAAAGGCATTTCAAATTTCTCTCCCGGGCAAACCATCACTTACTGGAAACAATAACAATTGGGATAGGTGGTAATGGTTGGCAGTAATGAGCAGTTACCCCTTTAGTAACCAATTTGACCCCGGCTATTCATCTACTTCTAACAACCCATTGGTATTTCAAAGGATGCCAATAGATTTTCCTTGAATAGTGACCTGAATTTCCATTGGCCCCTCCATAAGCGAACCTGTCACGGTCAATACAGCCAAAGATGACCATGTCATCATGCCCGGAAACAATACGGCTTTTGTCATTACGACATTGGCATGTCGTTCGTCATTGTCACATTGTCTGACCCCTCAATGACCGTATTCCTCTCGATTCTTTCTTCTCCAGCTTCTCCTTTCCCTCTTTGTGCACAAATCTATTACCTACACTACCTACCTTCTATTTACTTTATTCATCGGTGTTGTTATTGGGAAATGTGTGTAGCAATATTGGAATTGACGTACTTCCCAGACAATTCACTGGTCACCTCCTAGACAGAAAGGCCATTATTTTGCTGGAATCTCAATTTGTTCTTTTTCTTTTCTCAAATCTCAGTTTGCTCACCTTATTCAGGTGGCTATGGAGTGATGGGAAGTGCTGCCACGAAGTGGAAGCTACCTTATGCACTGACCGGGTATTAAATCCCGGCTCAGATCTCTCTAGCCCAACCCAGCCATCCCTTCCTCCAGATTAGCGTAATCGAAACTCACGTGGAAGGATAAACACTGATTTTCATAACTTACTTCTGGACTCCGGTTGGAGTTGCTGTTGCGGTGCAAATGGCATTCGGAATGCGTGGCGCATCCTTAGAACAGTTGATTGAAACATCGACTCATGTTGTAAAAGAATGCAGCAGCCAGTAATCAACGGCATGAAAGTAAAATAACAAATTGAAAGGAAAACAGATGAGTTTAATAAAATAATAGTACATGATGCAAATTGCGATGGGGGGGGGGGCGGGGATTAACTCCATTAATTCCTCTGTTGTCTCTTACGCTACAACTTTCTAACGTGTCGAGTGTTATATCCTGGGTCACGAAATGTCTAGAAGAACAACTAAACAGACACCAAGGGATGGAAGGCCTTCGTTGGCATGCGACGGTTGCGCCGGTCCAGGACATAGAACTTTCACGGGGCCCCTGGCATGTGGCGCTATTGTCACGGTACCGTCTCGACATTAGACGTACGTATAATACAACAATACGACACAAAAGGTGATAAAAATTGCTTAACTATTGTTATTCAAATAATAGACGATAAAATTAGTAGAAGGGAATCAGGCAGTTATGTTAGAGTCAGGCTGTCAACGTTCCCACGTACCTTCAGCAGCATCCGGGTGACAATTTTTGGTGACTTCAGGAGCTAAAAATCAAGTAAAATAGGCAAGTAAGGAGTCGAAAGGCAGGAGAATGTGGCATAAGCCTAAGTTCTCATGGAACCGTTTAGTGACCTATAAAATTTCACAAAGCTTAAAGCCTCCTGAAGCATTTCTCTGCGAATCCTCTTCGTGTTCCTTACAGTTCCACTGCCTGCAAACGCTATCTTCATTGTGCATTTAGCGCTCGGGGTGTTCATAGGCTACCGTAGTGATAATTAGCAGTTCTGGTCTTCCTCTATGAGGTTCATGAGGCCCAGTGCCACGAAAAAATCTGAACTTTGCCTCCTGCCATCTGTTTGCAAGAATTTACACTCGAGTTCTTGTTACCCGATGATGGATGACATATGAATTCATCTCACTGATGAATATTCATCCCCTTTTCTTTTCTTATACGTATCAATTCCCTACACTGTTTCCGTTAGTGTGCTCATCCTTTCTCAAAGAAGCCTCCACTCATTTTAGAAAGAAATATTTTGCATCTATTCAGTCACATGGTGAAGTGTCGGGAAGAGTTATTACTGTTACTCTTTGATGGAAGTTTGAAATAGTGATTGATTCTGTGTTTTTGCTTGGTTTCCAGCTACTGCCACTTTGATGTACCGGAGTTGGTTACATTATTCTTCAGAGAATCCATCTTTAATACTTGCCCATTTTGAAAGAATTCATTCAGCTACTAGAACTTTAGCGGTTAGTTTTTTGCAAACAGCTTCGGCTGTCGCAACTGCTTTCAGTCGTTTCTAACAGGTAAGGTTGCTAGAAAAGCATTAAAAGGTTTTTTTTGAAAAACATCTTGTTGAGACCATCCATGAGAGGTAGAAGAAAAGATTCATCTTTCCTAAACCCCCTAAAAAGTCCCAGAAAGTGGTGAGAGAAGCTTACTATCTTACCATGGGTTCGATTACCCACGGTAACCGAACTTTCAGCTGCAAACAGTATCCAGTAACTAATAATAAATTTTTCTGCATCTCAAGATTTTAGGGTAGCATTACACTTAGCTATGTGAATTGGGCCTGAAGAATGGCCTCTTGCAAATGCCCCAAAATCCTTCACAGTTTGACAACTTTCCAGCTACGATCCACTAGAACTCATAATCCATTCAGTCTGCGTGCCGGTTGCGCGTGCCGTCTATTGAGCGACGATTTCTCGACTGACATTGATAAATGAGGCAGCGGATGAGCCGCTCTGAGGGTCAGTGCCTCTTAGACAGCGGTCAGACAACGCCAGCACCGCTAATTAACCCTACCCCGTCAAAGAAGCTCCTGTGAGCTGCCAGCGAGTTGAAGATTAGAAGTAGGTGCACGACATTATCGAGAAGTTTGCAGGGTTCAGAACAGGAGCAAAGACGAGGATTTTTTGTTGATCAGATGCTCACGGTCACGATACGCCATGCATCCAACCCCAGTGGTTGGTGAAGTTTGAGTCCTTATGCGAAGTGGGCCGGTAGATTGGTGCCATAAATAAGCATTATCATGTAATAATATTACATATATTAAATTTCAATTCCATACCACTAAGAATCTCTCAGCCTCTTGTTCTTCCACTGAGACTCATCTGTTACGGATTCTGAATTAGAGGAAATTTTCTAGACATACACCTGCGATTTTCATAAAGTTCCCTACGGAGTGAAATGCGTATCAAAGGGAGAAAGTAGAGTAAAATAAACACCGAACTCAGTGGTGAGTTCAATAGCTCCTTCTTCGAGGCTTCGTGAGAACAAAAGCGTTTCTCAAAGTAGATTTGCTCTGGAAGAGGGTGCTTGGAGAAAATCCAGAAACTTCCAAACTTAGTAGTACACATCCCTGATAAACAGGATCCAGAAAAGGGTGACCTATTTCAGCCATACAAGAGACAAAACTTTGTATAAAAATCAGGGGCCGTAAGGTATGCTTCCTGAAGGTTTAAGGGACGAAAATCCCTTTAAATTTTCTCTGTATTCCCAACTGGGATTGTCCTGATAAAGGGCCTACATTTAATATATGTGTGTAGGTTAAAGCAACAGTCCCAGCAGGGTTTGTTGCTTTCAATACTAATGGCACTAAAGGATGCACAGGTCCCTGTTGGAGAACATATGAAGTGTAGTTATAAGAAAAAACTCACCTGGGAAAAGCGCAAAAGGGCATGAAACTCCTCAAAATGGGTGTGGTTGGAAATTTCTTCGGGAACCGCCCACTTGCCAGCCGTGATTGGCTGCGGAGGCATTCGTGCTCGTTTTGGGACCACAGGGAGTATTTGAACTCTGTCCTTTAAAGCAATCAATGTGATCCTGCCTGTTGCACTGGAATTGTTTCTTTTTGTTGTTGTAGTTGTTGTGTTTATGTATAGTGTTATGCAACTGGAGCGGGCGAGCTCAGGCAACTCGTCCAACACCCGTCTTCAATTCATCGCTAAGTGGCAGAGGGAGAGTCCCTGTTTAAGGCCCTGTTCGGCGTTTTTCTTTGGTTTTTTCGTCACTGTCGGTCAAATTGTCGCCTGTAACTACCATTATCAAACGGTATTTACCCCACAAAATTCGTCCTGGGATTGTTGCTTTAAAGAGATGCACTGAAAATGGCAAACATCATCGTTTCAAAATGCGAGCCCAAAAAATTTTAAAGGAGTTTTTCGGCCTCGAATTGTTCTGGGGAGCATACCTTATGCCCCCAGCTTCAGGTTGAGAGAGCGCAGCCGACGATGGCTGAGGTACTAAAGCCCTAGTATAGAGTCTGATGGGCTCCACAGGACCAGATCCAATACTAGGGCTTTTTTTCTGTCTCAGAAAATTGTAGGTCTATTCTATTATAGTTTTATGGAATGGCGTTTCAACAACTTGAAGATCAAGTAATCCCTCAAAGGTACCTCCACAAGATTAAAACGGTTCCATAAAACACAGCGATCTAGCATGAGTTCTAGTCGTGGCGTATTCCGGAATGTCTCACCCTGCTCATACAGCTCTCCCTATCGCTTGTCGCGGAATCGGCTTCCTTTTCGTCAATTCTAGATGAAGAATTCGAATTAACCTCAGGTGACAGGTAGACGGTCCATCCAGGTCGACGTTCCTAAAGGCTCCGAAGAAGGCGATAACGCCGAAACGTCGAATAAACCTTATTAACAATCTCGGTGACAAGCTGAATTGTTCCATCACCTAACCTCAGACTGATCACCGCTTATCCAGAGCACTGTTCTCGATTCTCTCTCAACTTTTAAGGCTTCATTTATTATTTTTTGAATAAGTGCTGCCTCACATAAGTGCTTGCTCTCCAGTTTACTCACCTCAAATTCCAAGTCTCGGGTCTCAAAGAAGATATTAGCGAGAGGGGTGGGGGTAGCTTTTAAGACGGCCTCTTGACAGTGTTGATGAGCCTCTGAGAATGCTTCCGTCACTGAAGAATCACCATCTGGGTCATTCTATTCGAGTAAGAGCTTTGTTCTTCATCTGAGCCTTCTCCCTGAAACTCTTTATCTCACTAACATGTGCCCCAGGATCACGGTCGGGTGTTTGGCTCTTTGCCAACTGTTAACACTTCAATGGGGTGGTGTCAACCAGGCGATGAGTAATGAGGTTACGCCGCTTCAGCAGCAAGACCACTGATAGGTGGCTTATTTATCTCCGTTATAAAGGATTTGGTGCTGTGGAGCGGACAGCTCGGGGATTATCCCTAAACATACGTATTTATTGTAGAATTCTTTTGAGCCACTGTTATTTTCGAATGTAACAATACATGTAATCAATACATATCAATATATATGCAATATATATGTGTATATACATACATATAATGTGTAATAAAGTATAAAGTGGCCAGGATACCAGCGAAACAAAGGGGAAGTGTATTTGAATAAGAATTTAGGAAAGGTTATACTAATATAGACACAGTTCCGTTCAAAGATGAGAGTTATATAGTTAGAGCAAAAAGGGGAGATTGGGGCTTCCAAAACGATTAGTTTATCTATTATTCACTTTCACACCATATGTAACAAAATCGTAAAAAAATTGGGTACCTTCATTTACTGGTACAATTTGGCGGCTTCTTTGAAGAGTGATTGGATTACTGTCATGTCAACAGATTGGTACGGTATTTATGGCTAGCCTTGTCAACTGGGGCGATTACCGTACATAGGCGGATCGTTTCATCACGAAAACCACCTCTACAAGCGCTACATATTTAAACTGACTAGGTTAGAAAAGAACGCTTAGCGTTAGGCGGGCGTGTCCACCTGAGGGGCCAAAACGGGCTCTTCGGACCATTTTCTGTTCCTAATCCCTTTGTAGACCTGCAATATCTCCCTGTCTTCTGGGCCGAACACAGCCAAACGGGCGCCCAATTCAAGGGGTGCGAACCGAACGTGATTCTGCTATTCTGGTAATCTTAGCGCTATTTCAACGGTTTACCCCTCAAGAGATTCACAGTGAACATTTAGTCATTTATTTATTTTTATTCATTTATTT